GCCTGGAGTGTTTTTTGTTTAACTTAGCCAGCTGAGGAGCTGTGTAGTGAACAAAAGTGCCCATCGGATTTGAGATCCCACTTTATGATTCTGTTCTGGCACTTGAATCAGGGATGGACATAGAACCACATATGCAGGAGTGGACAAGGTCCAGCAATCTGTTTGTTTCAAGTTATGTGGGAAAAAATGCAGACAGCTAAGCAAACAAAGGTGTAAAACTTGGTATGAAGTTTTGAAAAGAGTAATTCTGGACTTTTTTCTTTGTTTTGCCACTGCATTTTAGTATTTCATTATGGGTGCTATGTAAGTTATGTCATGTTTAGAAGCAAGAAATAAGACGTATACTTGTTGCATAGGAGCGTTGTGGGTTTTAATGTACCTTTGCAGAGCACATTGACCTCAAAGCAGAAGAGACAGAAAAGACAATATGAGAGAATGCTCATGCAAAAAGATCCCATTCAGTGAGCTGACCATGTACAGCACTAATATGGAAAGTTAAATTTGATCTGTGTAATTAAAAACACTTCAGCAAGAGTATAAAGTCCACTTACATAGATTTTCCAGTTTTCCTGGGTTTTTTCCGTCCCTGAAGGAGACCAGTACATTTTGTCAGCTCCTTCATCTTGGCTTAGTTCCCATGTGCCACTGAAGAATTTTTTGAACAGATGTTGTGTGTTCTAGGCATAAATCCTAAATAGTTTAAAAGTTATTGTTCCACTTTCTTATCTGGTACTTTTTCTTTGGCTTAAACCTTAGGTTCTCTACCAGAGTTTTATCAGCAATACAGTTTGTTTAGTTTCTGTTATTTTGGTTTTGTTTTCTTTCTTCTCCATCTTCTCTATCTGTTTGGAGCGATGTAGATTTCCCTGTCACCTCTATCTTCTATCAGTGTTTTCAGCTTCAGAGTTGCCTAACTGTGGTTGAAAAATGTGAGGGGATAATAGATTTTGCAGTAAGATACTATTTTGACAAACACCATTTGGGAAAGTCCAATTAACCATCAACTTTTCTTATAAAATGAGAGAATTGCAGACCTCAGATCATAAAGGGTTTTTTTTTTTTTGAAAGGAATACTTGGAGGATGAGGGTCTTACAACATGCAGACAGACAGGAAATACCCTTTGTTCTCCATCTGCTGCCATCTTTATCATAACGGATGGTACCAGTCTTCATATGGGTTGCTTGACTGGTCATTTACTGTTACTACCTGGCTGCGTTCTACAATTCATGTATCTGTACATAGCATCACAGGACGATTCAGGCTGGCAGGGTGATCTTCTGGGGAGATTACCAGGTGCAGCCCCTGCCCAGAGGAAGCTCAGCCATGGGCTGCTTGGGGCTTCACCCCACTGTGGCGTAAAACCCCCCAAGGATGGATACAGTCCAACCTCCATGAGCCCCAGCTCCACCACTGGGCTGTTCTCAAGGGGAAAAAGCTTTCTCCTTATCTGCAGCCTAAGCATCTCATGTTTCAGCTTGTGCTGCTGCCTTTCACCCTCCTGACATGAAGCGCTGTGAAGAGCCTGGCTGAGTCTTCTCCATGCCGTCCCATCAGTGTTGGGGATGCTGCTGGGTACCCCCAAAGCTGTCCCTTCTCCCAGTTGAACCATCCCCAGTCCTGCAGCCTCTCTTCACAGGGCCAGAGCCCAGAGCCATCTTGCTGAGGCCCAAAACCAGATGTAGTACCCATATGTGGTCTGACAGGCATTGAGCAGCGGAGACAGTCCCTGCCCTCCCCTGGCTCTCGGTGTCTTCTCCTGCTCACACTACCCCAGGCATTGCCGGCCCTTATTGCAACCTGGGTGCGCAGCTAGCTGCGGCTCAGATCACTGCCTGCCAGGGCCCAGGGCCATTCCCCACAGCTGCTCCCTGGCCCCATCATCCCCAGCCTGTATCCCTGCAGGGCCCTGCGTTGCTGAGACGGGGCTTGCTGAACTTCATGGGGAGCCATCGACCTGTTCCTCCCCTATCTCCATCTCTTTTTTAACCTCCTGGCCCTCAAGTGTTGACTGGTCCCCCTCAGCTTGATGTCGTCTGCAAACCTGGAACACGTGCCCTCCATGCCGTCTTCCAGGTCACTGGCAGAGATGTCAAGATGGGTAGCATGGTGCAGATACCATAAGCTTCTGTTTGACCTTCCATGACCAGGCGAGGGTGATTTTTAACGCCAACCGTGGTGCTCAGTTACTTTGCTGAAATATTTTTTTCCCTATTCTTTGATACAAGCAAATTTGCTTTGAAGCAAATCATTTTTCCAGAGGTCAGTTTTACCAGTTTTTGTCTTTTTGTCAGATGAAGCAAACAAAATGTCTACAGCCTACCCCCCTCAGCTTCACGAGATACGTTTGGAACAACCTGTAGCAAACTAAACACTACCAGCTGCCTGGACTCCAGATTTTATTATTAAGTTTTGGCAAGCCTGCAGTAGGGCTCCACATCTGCTTTAAGCCATGTTCAACAGGAGGCAAATCTGCAGCTGTTGTCTGGTTATTACTCAGGAGTGTTTTGAAGCAGCTAACCTAAAAAATTGTAATGTTCACCTAGTAAATTCATTTATACAACTAGGCTATAGATTAGCCAAGTTAAAGTTTGATCTAATGGTATTTCAGAATCTGTTTCAAAGTTAGGTTATCCCACTCTCTCCCTCTTAATTTCAAATCCGTTCAACCTTAAAAGGATAAAATTAGAAGTATTTATGTCAAAAATACTTTGATGATATTTCCTGTAATTGCTTCCTGTTCTTTGTGATTCTGTTTTGCACTTTGCAGTACTCAAGAAGTGGTCTCTTTTTACATGAGACATCTTTAGAAAAATAGCTAATTGCTCCTATTTTTTTTCTTCCTGTAAAGAGACTTGGTCTTCTGTTCACCCTCACTCGTTCCATCAGAAATAGGCAATTTCCTTCTACACCTTTCCTTTTTGTATTTTGTCCTGTTTCTGAAAAGAAAAAAAAGTAAATGGTAGGGACTTGCAACCTCCACACAGGAGCTTGAATATACACCTCATGTTGACAGGTTATCTGTCTGTTTAAAGGGTTAAATGTCAAACCTGCACCAGTGTACACAAGGGCAGTTTTATCCTCAGAGTGACATTCTGTGGAAGTCTGGGGAAGATAAGAATTACAATCACAAATTATTTTTACCATTTGCTCCATTGTGTTTTTAAGTCTTCTACTATACAAAAGAAACATATTTGTAATGCTATAATAAAATTCTGCCCTGAAAAATAATTGTGAAATAGTCGTTATTGTCACATCCTACTCGTCACACCTGTTCTTAGTATGTGCTAAGAAGTGCATTTCATTTTTTTTTTCTTAAAAAAAATAAAAATGCCCCATATTTTATTCTTGAAAAGCTATAAATGCTGTGGAATACTGTTTCATGCCTTATCAACAGCACTATTAACTGAAAGTAATGCATTAGAACTTGTGTGCCAAAATTATTGTATAAATTCCAATGACAGGGTTATATTTTGTCATCTTTTCCCAGTCAACCTTATTATTTGCCATAGATTTGCAGAAATAAATGCACATAACATTTAGGCTATATATAGTTTCTGTAACTGTTACACAAGGCACATCAACAGAGAATGTTCTTGACTAGTGGAATCAAAGTTGCATTTTTATTTCTTTTAAGTAGATGGTGTTGTTACTAGAAATTCAGCTATATTGGTAAAAATACCAGTCTTTAAAAGGGTAGAAATATGTCGCTTAATGAGATCATTACTGAAGATCTCTTCAGTAGGGTATAACTTTTTCAGGTTACAAAATCATTCAATATTTAGGTGTCTTCTTAAAGAGCAGGATATGTTTAGTATCTTAGTTATTTATGAGCTAAGCAAACCATTTTCAGATTTGGAAGTGTGTGTAATGGTTTTAACACTTTCTTCTTGATTACTCCAGCCAATCTTATGTAATAATAACATTTCCCCATATACACACACATACATACATGTATATATTTGCCATTTCACACATAGGTTGTTAGATTGCGATTATTCACCACCAGCCTTCTGTTCAATTGCATTTCAGTTCTGTGTGCATTATTTATACTGCAAAGCATTTATTTGAACTCCTTGATAATTTTTAATGTGTGAATTAAATATATCATTCTTTTTCTGAGCTCAGATTAATTTATTTCATAGTACCATTAATTGATTTGTTTAAGTTCAGTAAGTTCAATAAAGGTAATATTCTGTGAGATATTCAGACAATAGTTTAAAAGGTTTGAAAGATAAGTGTTGAACTAGCCAAATAAACAATTAGGAACACCGCTCAACTTTTTCTGTAGTGCCTGGTCAGCCATTGAACTTCAAAGCAGAACCTGAGTCTGAAACGAGCATACTACTTTCCTGGACACCTCCACGCTCTGATACCATTTCCAGTTATGAACTGGTTTACAAAGATGGGGAGCACGGGGAGGAGGTAAGTAAAAAGTATACATCTTTTAAATACTTCTTAATGAGTCAGACATAAGAAGCCGCAATGATTTAGAATTGATGGATTAGTAACTTTCTTTAGTATAAATACCTTGATGTTTACCAGTTCATTAAACACAGCAGTCCGCCTAAGGATAGACTAAGAGTGTGTGAACACCAGAAAAAGCTGTTGATGGTTACCAGCCAGTGGAACTTTGCTGTTGTTTGCAATGAGTCATCTGCAGAAGTTGCATTCCATTTCAGACATTGATCGTGTCTCTCCAAGCCTGTTCCTCTACAAATGCTTGGAAGTAGAAGTGTTTTGGGGCATGTTACAGACTCATTAAGATTTTTTGCACTTATACTTGGACTTTGAAGTCTATTTTCAGCCTTAGAGAATTTTTGTTTCTCTTTGCCACCATGTAAGAGAGTTCTCAAGCTTCTCTAATCTTTCAATAATATTTGAGAAGAAAATATTCTTTTTTTCTAAAGATAAAAGCCTTCTGTGGACTTTTTCTGTACTATTATTTCTTAAAGAATTTTCATTTTGAGGGCCTCTGTAGTGTTGGTACCGCAGACTTTAGAATAAACTGTTCTTCTGTTATAGAAACCATGTGATATTGCCAGGTGTCCCAGACAAAAGAAAGAAGCCAGTCATCTCAGAAGGCAGCAGGAGAGTGTCAGCCTCATTGATTTCTCCTGCATCATCAACTCATTGCTGATGCTTCAATCGAGCTTATGTTTACAGCAGCTTCACACACATACTGTGAATGCATAAACTTATTTTGTGGAAGGGGACCAGATCCCTATTTCACCTCCAAATAGGATGCAGGCCCCTGCTTAATAAGTTACCCTTTGAAAGAATTTGCTTCTTAATAATTTGAACACAAATTTAACTACAAGGTTAAACCCAAGATTACGCCCATTATAAAACCCTGTAGTTCACTGTCATAAGAGGTAACTGTAGGTAAGGCTTTGTTCATGTGTTATTGTCTGAAAAGCTTTTTATACTTTGTACACAGCTATTAGGTCCTCAAACAGTCAAGCAATATTTCTGGCTCTGAGTTTCACCCATTAAGCTGTCAAATTTAAAAAATAATGTTCCTTAATGTGTGTTTGTTGAAAGTAATGTATTCATTTTTGTTTTGGTTTAGTTTGGTTTTGTTCTGATTTATTTTCTCAAATTCAAATTTTTCTCAGTGGGGTTATCACCAGAGTATAAAAGCATTTCTTCTATAGGCAACGCAGGGAATTCAGAGTCTCTGAATATTAATCAAGACATCCTCTTATTACCTACCTTTAGCAACGGGTTTCCACAGAACCTACGACATCTTATCGGCTTCAAGGCTTAAGGCCAAACAGCCTGTACTTATTCCGTCTAGCTGCACGTTCTCCGCAAGGCCTGGGTGCTTCGACAGCAGAAATCTCAGCGAGAACCATGCAGTCAAGTAGGTGTCATTCCTTGCTAGCTTTATTGCCTTGCCGTGTATTTCTCAAAGAGATTAATCTCAGTAGCCCAGAGAAGCAGCAACAGAGAATAATGCAAAACCATAAAAATACAGCATTCATGGTGCTTAATATAGCAAAAGAATGCTTAAAATTTGTATTTTTGTAGGTGTATTGTGATCAACTTAATATATAAGTGGCTCTTACAGTATCAGAAAAAAGTTCTGTAAAGGAGTGTCTTTAGAGACACTATTACACTGTCATAATAGTATTTTATTTTATGTTATAATAGCAATAAAATGTTTTATCATGCAATAGATGTACATTAATAACAGTCCTCCACCTGTAAAATTCCACCTGCCCAGTCTGCAGTGTCCTTTAATACTAGATTCCTGCAGCATCTCCCTGAAGTACAAAAAATTCGTAGAGTGGGTCAGGTTGAATATTTCAGACTGTACAAAAAATTTCCTTATAACTGTTCTTCTATAGTAATTAATCATTCTGGTTTTATGTTAGATTTTTTTAGTCTAGGCTTTTTATGATGTCCAGTCATTTTTTACACCAGTAGAAAATAATTTTTCTCACTTTATGCTTATGGAAACTATGTCATGAGACTCATCACATTTGTCTGCAAATGAGATGAAAAAATTTGTCAGGAATTTATATATACAATTTAAAATATTTAAATTAAGACTTAATTAAAACAATCAGATATTCAAGGATGATGTCCAGAAGTGCTACTCTTTCCTGATAAGTTATGCTTTCCTGACAGTTTGCATTACACTGTGTACTTTTAAAATGTAGTGCAATTCTATTTCTATTTGTTTTAAATTAAATTCCTTTTCTTAAAATAATAATATTCAAAAAGGAAAATTCTGATTCTCAATTGACATGAAACTTTTTAATTTGCAGTCATGACAGATGTGATTACACCATCATTCTTTGTTAGTGTTCTGTATTAATAGTCATTAATGTGACTGGTGATACAGTGATACAGTGCCACAGACCTTTAACCAAAGCTAAACGTGCTTCTGAAGCATTTCTAAGGCATTTGGAATAAGCACAAAAGATGATTATATAACACAAGGCTAGTTTTAGCGAGAGTGGCAAGGCATCTTTTAGTTTTAGTAGTCCAGAATCAGTTAATTTGATGAAGAAAAAGGTATCTATTTATTCTGGGAGCCATTTCAGCTATTTAGAAAGGTCATTCTCTTATATGGGGTGAAGGTTGCTTAGACTGTGCATACAAAATGAACATCTAGGGGCCAAGGTTGCATGTTCCATATATAAGCACATAGCCATTTTTCCTTTCTTGAATATAAGAATATGTTATGCTTTTTTCAGCCTTATGCCTTCAGATGGTAGGAAAATCCAATTGATTTCAGTGGGCAGACCCTGATTATCTGCTGAAAAGATTACAAAATCTTTTTTACAAAGGTTGTGTATTTTAAGAAAAAAGTCTATGCATTAATAAAACTGGTTACACAAGTAGCCTAAAGATTATCCTTAGTTACATAAATGCAACATTTTGCATTTTCAGAGTATAATGGATTAAAAATTAATAAACTTCTATGACTTTATTAGCAATATTCACGAAAATACGCTATTGCCTTTCATCTTGGTTTCAGAGGAAGACGCTACAGGGATTTATTTCTTTACATATAGGATCCTTAAGGAACATTTTACTTGTATTTTACTTCCTGCACAAGTCGATGGTAGAAGGAGACCAACATGTTTTGAGTACTTGATTACTGAATTAGCCTAAAAAAACCCACCCAAATGTGATAATTCTCATCTGTCCCCCCATCCACCTCCTCTAGTTAGCTGAAATGCTGGTACATTCCCTCCTGTTTTTCCTTCAGAAGAGCAGTGTACCATACTGAGTAAAAAGCCATTGATGCCTGTAGAAGAGCCGTAGGGAACCAAAAGATACATGTGTAAATGCAATAGGTCACAGCAGGGTCCTAGGCCTTCTCTGTTGCTTTAATTTTGTTTGATGTGCCTAGTATAAGTACCAGAAATCCATGTGTTTCTTTTTTCCTTTAAGAAATGGAAGAAAATAGTACAGGGGGGGAAAAAAAAAAAAAGAAAAAAAAAACCCACACAAAGGCACTATAAAGATCTTACACACCAAATTTGTGTTTTCCTTACAAGAGAGAAGGCAGAAATAGGAAAGAGGTCAATGTCCACTGTTTCTGCCAGTGAATTTGAACTATGTCTCCTTTTTTGTTGCTCTGAATGATCTCAGTTAGTAAGCATAGACTCTGCTAAGTCAAAGCGCATTTAAGCACATAAATGCATACCTAACTTTCAGTACTTGAATTGCCTCACTGAGAGCAATGGAACGACATAGATGCTTAAATGCTCTGGAGCCTGGAAAAGGTAAATATGCTAACAGACTCCTTCAAGTGAAAATCAGTAAAGGTGAACACTTCTGCTCTGGAAGATTGGTGCTGGTGACAAGAGACAAAACAAAGTCAGAATCTCTCACCGTTCTGATGTGCTGAGTTTGTGAACTCTCTTTGTAAAATTAATACCCGCTTTCTTGACACGTTGTTTGGGGGTAGATTTTTTTTTTTTTTCCCCCTATAGAAGTTACCTACATTACTGGTAGGATTTAATTCTTTGCTAGCAAAGGTGTCTCCAAGAGGAGTTAAAAAAATAAAACTGACAGCTGATCTAGGGTAAGTACAAGTTACAGTCAGAATCAACAAGCCTGTCACTTTTTCCTGGTAGGTAAATCTTTGACTAAGACTTTCTTTGTCTTCTGTTGACTGCATGCTCTTACTATGTTGGCTACAGTAGATGTTTCAGTAAACACTTTCCGTTTAAATGTAATTTGCGGTTGACTTGTGCCAGGCAGACTCAGTTATAAAAAAAAAACAAAAAACAAAACAAAACAAAACCTGAAAAAATAATAATTTGTTTATGAGAGTGGGGAGGCAACAAAAATGGCAATTTGTGGAGCAATTTCTAGCAATTATTGCAAGTTTTTTAGGAGTTCTGTTAAAAGAGAATTTTTCTCAAAGAAAGTAAACACACTTGAAGGGGATATGTCCAAATTTTTAAGTAAATACGTCTCATGTCATTTAAACTATTATTACTTGCACTAATTGCTATGATTATAAGGATAGATCAGTAGTCATAGAAGTGTCACGTTTTTGTTTTATTTCAAGAAGAATTTTAATTACAGGTAGGTAATATTATTTTGAGGTTTCATTTTCATGTGTATCCCCTACATCCTTTTTCACCATTTAGTTGGTCTATTCATTTTCATTTTCCTCATGTTAATAAGCCAAGGTGCATATGATTATCTGACGTTTTGCTTTTTTAAGTTTCTACTTTTTTTCGTTTGGTTTTTTTTTTATTTTCATTTGGTTGTCTTTTATTTATTTTTATTTTTTCTTTTGTTCATTTTTTTCAATCACTCCTATCCTTTCACTCAAATCCTCCTTTAACCCACTACTGAAATTAGAGCCATCAGCTCCTCCTCAAGACATTAGTTGCACAAGCCCCAGCTCCACTAGCATTTTGGTAAGTTGGAAACCTCCACCGGTGGAAAAACAGAACGGCATTATCACTGAATACTCCATCAAGTACATTGGGATTGATGGAGAAGATGTCAAGCCCCATGAAATTTTGGGAATTTCCTCGGACAGTACCCAATACCTTTTGGAACAGCTGGAAAAATGGACTGAGTACCGGATCTCTGTGACTGCCCACACTGATGTTGGACCTGGCCCAGAGAGCTTAGCAGTATTGATTCGGACAGATGAAGATGGTATGTTGCCCCCACTACACCAGTTTGCGCCTCTATGACTCTCTGTCGATCTGCTGTCTTTTGTATAGCCTAACAATATTTTTTTCTGCTCCTCTTTTTTCCCAAATCACAGATATTAGCACCTTTTGAGTTTTTTAATCAAAGACTTGTCCTTTCTACACCATTTTTATATTTCGTATTTTAATTTTTTTTTAACAGAAAGTACCTTTTTGTGAGTGACATGAATCTGCTGCCCATATGAGCCCATACATATCCTTCTTGCTCCTTCTTTAACATAAAAATAACTCTCAATAAAAATAACTTTCAGGGGAAAATCTTTCTGCCTTTTCCTTGTTTTTACAGTCATTGTTATTTTTAAACACATATGTCTATGAACTTTTTTTCAGGTTTTGGTTCTTTTTTTTTTTTTTTTTTTTTAACTGCTTTTTTGTTCCATGTTGTGCTTTTTGATTTGGGTTTTCTTGGGTTGTTTTTTTTTTGAGTTTTGTTTTTGATCTTGGAAAACTGATGCTCCACACATTTTCTTTTCTTCCATGCTTGAAAGTGACAGAAGACAGCCCTATTATCAGCCTCCTTTTTATACTACTGAAAAAAAAAAAAAAGAAACAAAGAACTTAGCAAACAAAAATAAGGGATCTTTTTAAAAAATCTTTTGTGGTTTTATTAATAGTATTATTATTATTTCAATGATTAAAATATCTCTTTGTACTATAATGCTTTGAATCTCAAAGCATCTTCCTTGGCTTTTGTACATTTTTACATGTTTTTCTATTTCTCTAATACTCTTTTTTCTTCCATTTTTTGCATCAGTCATGTTTTTTGATCTTTTCACTGAGAGGTAGAGCAGATTGGTTGAGCATTTTCATTTGTTGAACAATTTGTATTCTTCAAAGAAAACGTAGTGAGTCTGCCCTTTTAAAAAATAAAGCAAAAGACATGGGTGGGACAGGTGCCTGTAATTCTCTTCTGTCCAATGATGTTGTTCCAGTTCCTAGTGGTCCTCCTCGCAAAGTCGAGGTAGAGGCTGTCAACTCTACTGCTGTTAAAGTGTCATGGCGCTCACCTGTACCCAATAAGCAGCATGGTCAGATCCGAGGATACCAGGTCCACTATGTGAGGATGGAAAATGGAGAGCCAAAGGGTCAGCCCACGCTGAAGGACATCATGCTGGCTGATGCACAGGTAAATAGGGCATTTTATATTCTTTTGCCTCACACTGAAAATATTTAGTATACCAGAGAGCTATCCAGAACTGCTTGCTTTTTTTTTTTCCCATTCTATATTTCAGTCTACCAGCTAACATTTTTTTATCTCTATTTTAAAAACTTTTTTTTCAGAATACTTACATTTTAAGGTTCTTGGGCCAGACTTGGGCATCCTTTTCTGTATAGGTGTGCAACTGAATGCTAAGCTCTGTCATTCTGCTGGCTTCCTTAAACCCGGAGACTTCAACCTATACCTATGCTCTGAAGTGTTAAAGCATCAGGGAGATCTGAGCCAGGTCACAGTCAATGTAGCAAACTGTGCACTGCCTGATCCACCCACCCGATATTTCTTTGTTTCAGTGGAGAACCTAAAATAATCAGCAGTCTGTGTTAGCCCATTATTACAGTGTTTCTGTCATTAGCGTGTATCGACCTCACCACACGTTTCACAGGAAATGAATTTATTAGTGCAACTTTAGAAATCACCAAGGTATTTATACTTGTCATTACTCATATCAATAACTGTGCAATAAAATGAGGAGCTTAATTTAAATAGATATAGGGTTACTTATATTGCAAAATTTCCCATCTGCTTTATAAATTATGAGACATAATGACAGAAAAACCTTGATCACATCAAGTTTAAAAAGCTTTTTAAAACAGGATTTTACTGATTGGGATACACTAGTGCTCTGTAAAACTGAAGATTCCCAAATCTCCTGGGCCTGGAGGAATCATCCTACTTTGAAATTATTATCAAGTACACACCTCTCACTTGCAGCTCTCAATTTATGACTGGAATGACTGGAAATATAAGAAATAATCAACCTTGTGTAAAGTAAAGAGTTAAATTTGCCTCTTAAGCATTTTATGTGAATAAATAAATGGTTTTTAGCTTCTTTTGTTTTATCTTCCAGTCTTACTTCTAAATTTCAGCTCTGCAGATACCTGTTTTGAGAACAGGTCTGCTACAACTGTGTTTTTCTGATGATCCTGTTCTCAAAGTATTTTCTCTGTTCCTGGAGGTCTTTGTTGCAGTTTTAGCTACCAGTCTGTCTGTCTATCTCTATGTACTTACCTATTTTGCAAAACATGGTGTCCTTACAGCTTAAATTCAGTGGAAGGAGAGATGGAAACAGATGGGGAGGTGGGAAGGGAAAGGGAAAAGGGAGAGGAGATGGAAAAGGAGATGCTGCTGCACTTTGATTCCCCCCTTCCTTGCACAGATTTTTCACTTTCAACCTTTGTGTGGTCGTAGTTTAAAATAATTTTAAACACTAGGAGGTCAAAAACGCAAGACTAGATGAGATATTGGACCCCAAATATCATAAAGGCAAAAACCATATTTCTTTTTTTGCCAAGTTTGAATTTGACCTGCCTGTTTGCTGTTGGTCCACTCTGGATAGTCACCTCCTTTCTCCTCCTGCCACACCTTCCTGCCTGTCATGCTTCTGTGATACATGTGATCAGGGCCTGTGCAAGTACGAAGACCTTGATGGTGAAAGATCAGTGTGGTTAGGTTTCAAGACTGAAAGATCCTGCTATTAATTTAAAAAAGTCATCGAATTCATTGCCTAGTAACATGATTAAGTAAAGCAGGTGGGCTTGAATTCTGCCTTGGTAGCTTTTACTGGTACAATCTATTATAACATATTACTACATGGTGCAAGAGAATTCATCACTTCCTTCATCTCCCAAGGAAAGAGAAGTGGCTGTTTTTTAGGGAGAGCAGAAATGGAATTAAAAATGCCTGGCCAGATTTCAAGAACCAAATTCTACGTCATTATACGTGATTAATTCAAATTGTACATGATTTTTCCAGACATCATTCATATTTATTTTACTATTAAGAAGAAAACATTAACTCAACCAGGCTACAAATCTCTTCATTTCTTTTCTTTTTCCTTCCAACATTCTTTACTCTCAATCAGTGGGAATATGATGATACTACTGAACATGTGAGTAGTTTTTGACTGGCCAGAAAAACAGTGTGTGTTTGGTTTGGGATTTTTTTTTTTTCTTTTTGCTTGTTTGCTTGTAGCCTCCTTTTATATTTTTGAGTTTTCTTCGGTTGTCCTTTTTTTTGTCATTTGCACAAACGCATGCTCCTAACATCGAGGTTTTTCCGTTATGGCACTTTTTCTGTCTTTTTTTTAAATTTCCCATGGAAAGTGGGGGTTACTGTTGCTTGCTTGTTCTTGGGTTTAGCATGATGCCAAAATGTACAGAACTGGTTTGTGTTTTCTTCTTTTTGATGGCTGTCACTAACTTTGCCTCACAATTTCCTCTTTACAAGAAGGGGTTAGAAAAATAAAAGTGGTTCAGAATTGCTTAGCAATAGTCAGATATTTCTGTATTCATTTTAAGGTTAAAGTGTTTTGTGTAGCTGAAAGTTGAGGTTAGTTGTGCTTTCTTTTTGGTAATTTGATAAATGTATTTTGTATGCTATCAGGAAAGTCAAATGCCCTGCAGTGTTTATGCCTAAGTAAAAGTGTTTGCTGTATCCAAATCACACTTCTGAACAATCATATCTCTTACACCATGAAGTGCTGTTTGGTTTAGATGAGGATAATATCTTCATACCTGTTAAAAAGTACAGCTTTTTTTTTTTCCTTTTACTACTTTTTTGCTGTTAATATCAGGTGCAGTTGCCTCATGAAAGAGCAACAGACTGTCTTAGCGATTTTGGCATTTGGTGTCAATTCAATTCTGAGACAGAGTCTAAGGAGAGTTTGGTTCTTGTAGTTTTTTTAATGTGTTTTTATTTTATTTGAACTATTTTGCCCATTCATTCTGGCCATTACCTTGTTATCTCTATATTGCTAATAACTGACTGTAAATACAATGCTGAATTCTAATCACAGCTGTACTAAGCTCATACCCACTATCTTAAAAAATCCATTTACTGTGGATAGTCTGACCCATAATTTTTATATTAACTTTTATGGTCATTGCATCTGAGGGGTGTGTGATTGCACATTTGCTATTTATTCTAGACACATAAATATACTGTCTCTCTGGCAGCAGTGAAATTTAGTGTAAATCCATTCAGGCACATGAAAATGTGAAGGAGTAGTCCAGTAGTTACAGACTGGAAACAGACAACTTGGGAACTTTGGGCCAGTCAGTTGCCTCCAAATACTGTCCTTTTATATTTGCCTGTAAATTTTATTTATATCATAAGTGTCAAGGCTTAAATTCCTCTGGCTGCCCTTATAGCATGATGTAAGTTTATTTCATTTCAGGTGTCTGGCCCTTCACCATCTTCTGTGTGTCTTTACGTCTATGTGCAGGCACATGTGTTAAAAAGATTCCCCTTGCTTTGACACTCACAGTTTGATCTTGCTCCCGTTCACTTATTCTAGATGAAGAGCTACTTGTTTTGTAGTTGTTGTTGTTAGTTTGAGGGTCATCAGATTTGTTCTCTGACAAGATTTTTAATGGTGTTTTAGGTAGTTCTTCTAGACCGGAAGAGTGAGTAGTTTCTGAAGTACTTTGAGATATTTAGATGCACAGTCCCACCAGCGACACTGGTTGCAATGAAAGTGTTATGAAAGTAACAAGGCTTTCTTGTTCAGCTAAGCCATCATTACTTACAAAGTGTGGATACAAATGCAACACTTACTAGGCATTTTATAACTATATCAGTGATGTCCTGTAAATGATTAAGTTAAATAGAGTTTCTCATATCTACGTACATGTGCATTTCACAATATTAGTAGTATTCCTCAGGCAAGGTATTTCAGAAGACTTTATTCACTGTTCACACCACTAAGCCTTTGGCCTTGTGCCTTAAACTGCCTGAGGCATGCTATTTAGAAGTGTGCTGTCTTTTATTGCTTAAGTGAGTGAAACATCTTGCATTGTGAAGTATTTCACACAAAACAGTCTGCGGGTGCTCTCAAATGCTTGTTATCACCGCCAGTAGCACAAAAGCGCGTGCATTGTATGCAATATGCAGGGGTTGTCTGAAGGATTCCGTGCTCTCCTGGAAAACAACCTATTTTTAATAAATTGTTCTTGTGTTTTTTCATCTTAGGAAATGATAATTTCTGGGCTTCAGCCTGAAACTACATACTCCTTCACTGTGACAGCCTATACAACAAAAGGTGATGGAGCACGCAGCAAGCCCAAACTCATATCTACTACTGGTGCAGGTAATTCTCACATACGCATTGATTGCTGAATAAATCCTTTGACTTCTCCTGCTAATGTTTTGCTTCTACTATTTGGAAGTCTTCTCTTGTGTAAAAAGTGTTTATAGGACAGAGGTTTTTCTGTTTCATTATTTGGCCCTTCATTTATTTAGATAAAAACAGAACGGTGTCCCTCTTTGTTCCTTTCTCAGTTCAAGATATGGCCAAAATGCAATATTTAACTTTATACTTTCTATAGCAGTCATATAGTAGCAGTTCCATTCTGATTGGTGTCATCTTGGAGAGGAAAAAATAGAAATTAAGAGCTTCTGAAGGGCTTTTCTGATCTTTGTGAGAGCAGCAATCCTGCTGCCTGTCAGTAAGAACATTGAAATAACCTATCTATATGACAGTCACAACCTATCTCAGAAGAATGTGATCATTAAAGCAGAGAATTAGAAAATGGAAAGAAAGTCCAGCCTGTGAAACCCTGGAACACCTATTACTTCAGTGGCAATTTGAGGCATAAACTGGGGCAAAATACACCATGCCACTGTGTTGAGTCTGCATTTGATCACAGGTGCTACCAGATGGTGGGTATCTGACGACATGACCAGTTCAGCTGATTCAGTTAGCACTGATGAGGCGAACTGAAATGCTTTTAGGTGAGGAGTAAGTTTTTCAAATTTATATGGTTCACTGTGGCACAGCTTAACCAAATGATACCACCACCGCCTTAGTGTGGTGTTCACCTACAGGTGTTAACAGCCTGGGATTTCTAGTTCTATTTCTGGGGTTTCTAGTGTAGGTATTAAGGATATTCTATTACAATCACATGGAAACCTTTGTAGCACCATTATAAGCTCTCTTAATAACAATGTATCCTTTATGCTAATATATAGACCAGCCTGGCTAAATAGAGAGCTTTGGCTGGACCTCAAGAACAAAAGGAAAACTTACCTTCTCTGGAAAAGGGGGTTGGCATCTTATGAGGATTATCAAGATATAACAAAGCTATGTAGGGGGAAAATTAGAAGGGCCAAAGCTCAATCAGAACTCAGCTTGGCCACTGGAGTTAAAGACAATAAGAAGAGATTCTTTCAGTATATCAATAGGAAAAGGAAGGCTAGGGAAAATGTAGGCCCACTGATGAATGAGATGGGTGCTCTTGTGGTGGAAGACGCAGAGAAGGCAGAGTTACTGAATGCCTTCTTTTCTTTGGTCTTCACGGCTAAAGCTGTCCCTCATGAATCCCATACCCTGGAGGCAAGGGGGAAGGAAGGAGGGAGGAAGATTTCCCCTCAGTTGAGGAGGACCGGGTCAGAGACCACTTGGCCAGTCTGGACATCCATAAGTCCATGGGCCCTGATGGGATC